GTCTTTAAAAAAATAAATAAATAAAAATATTCCAAAAGAAATTAAGCCATCAGTTAAAGAAGTGTTTCAATTGTTCTATGTTAGTAATATTCTATCCAACAGGACACCTAGTAAATACTAGAATTCTAGCTTTGGAAATTAACAGTTGCATGTTTCAGAAAGCAGATGTTTTAGAATTTAGAATGTCTTTTGATTTCAGAAATGCAATTCTGGGCAGGTTCCACATTTTACATAACACCTTCAAGGCACAGGGCAGGGGGTTGGCACACACACAGACTCGTATCTTGTAATGAAACACGTATCACTTTCAGCGTCAGAGCTAACATTCACTCTGGGGTTCCACTATTTTGTGATACTTGATATAAATTTTATCTGCCTTTAACGACCCACGAAGGACTACAAACTCACCTTGGTCATCTTTTCGTGTGATGATCTCCACATCAGAAACTTCTCCAAATCTGCTGAACTGATTTTGTAGGTCTGCCTTGGAAATGTTCTGACCAAGGCCACCCACAAATAGGCGCTTCACTTCTCTGTCGGCTTTCATGAAGGCTGCACATACACTCAGTGTGTTCTAGTGAGAAAAACAATTTTCTATCTACTTGAAAGAGTTCTTTCCTTTGGTTCTTCTCATATCTGAAAAAAGCCCCCGACCTCCTTTCCCTGCACCTTCTATGGCAAACTGGTGGCCTGGACCTGTGTTTCATTTCTTCCTGCATTACTTCCAAATTTTATCCCTGGAGACTCTGCTCAAGCCCTAAATCCACGTTTTCCACAAACGCACTTTGGAACAGCACCTCCTCTACACACATACAGACATAGGTGCCGGCAAATTCTTTCCTTCTACATGACCACAATATTGTACTCTACCCCCCTCATTTATTATGCATACTTTTAGGTGTTCTTCCTTTATTCGTTCACACACTCATTTATTCACTTTAACAAAAGCTGACAGAAACGGGGTGTGGCCGGTTAACATGCGGAAGACAGCTCTCCATCCCGGAGCTCCTCAGAGCCCTGACTGCACACGTGCTACAATTACGATGCTACGTGACAACACAAGCCTCTGCAAAGTGCTGTGCAGTCACGACAGCAGCTGATACCACAGATACACAGGCTTTTTTTTTTCCCACCACGTGCCAGCGTTGTACGAGGCGGTTCGCAAGTCTCTCGTTTTTCAGATGAGCAGAGAGGTGAAGGCATCCTCCCAATGCCATTCGGAGAACCAGTGGTGAAGCCACAACTAGAAACTGATCTAGTCTCAGAACCTGTAACTGGTAGCACTACACCAGGGAACTTGTTGCATTAGGACCGACTCAGGAAAACTCTTCCGGAGTTACTGCGATTTAAGGCCCATCACGAGACAGGCGCTCAGCTCGGACCCTGCCCTTCCCCAAGAACGCACAGGCCCTCCCACGCGCGACCTCAAAACAGCGCCCACAAGCCCAAGCAGGGCTGGTGCTCCGGGCGTGAGCCACGGCCTACATCTTTCTGGTAGCCTCCTCAGTCCCCAGCCTTCTTCCTCCTGAAGACCCGAAGACGATAAGCAAGAGGCTGCCAAACGACCCCGTCACTTCCTGGGCCCCAAACCCACTCCTCACCACGTCGTCTTCGGCACCCAGCGCCGCCCAGGTCCCTAACTTCCAGTCACGTGGCCCAACAGGCGCGGTCTGTCTTTCTTCCTACTGGATTTCCAATCCAGCCTCCTAAGGTTCCGTGACCATACGCAGTTCCCGAGTTCTCTTCATTTGGTTTGCGGTCCTCTGGAGTACCGCGAAGCCTCCGTCATCCTGCCCTCAATGTGCAAAGGGCTCAAAACCGAAACTCCCTAATTCGTACTACAGACGATCAGAGCCTCCGGTTCTTTGACTCCTGGACAAAAAAGCGGAAGTGACGGAGCGGACGGAAAATACAGAGGCTCCCGGTCACGAGGTCCCGGAACCGCCTCTCCAATGACGTACTCGCCCGGTGGATCCAAGGTCCACTGGAGCGGGGTGGGCTGCCGCGCCCTTGGGCTTCGGGTTGGAGCTAGCCAACTCTCTCGGAGCGCAGGGACCGCTGGGGGCCAGGTGGGGCTAGGACCGCAGCGACGGCCCGAGTCCGGGATACTGCGAGCGGGCGCGGGTGGCACGCGCGGGGGTCCCACTCCCCCGCCCCCCCCGCCGAGTTCCCGGATGGTCTGCGCCAGCAGCGCGGGAGGCTTGAAGTGCCCGGCGAGGCGCGCACCGCTCAGGCCGGTGCTCGTTAGCGCGGCGCCATGGACACGCAGCGGGCGGAGGTCCGCGCCTTGGAGGCTGAGATCGCTGCCCTGCGGCGGGCGTGCGAGGAACCGCGGGCGGCGGGGGAAGACACTTGGCGAGCGCAGTACGTGCTCCCGCAGTCCCTGGGGGCGGATGAAGGGCTCCGCCGGCCGCGCACTCCCCCACGTCTCCCGGGCGCCGAGGGCTCCGCTGTCCACGCCCGGCCCCGCCGCAGCCGAGTGTCGGGCTGGCGGAGGAGAGCGGAAGTCTTCGCCGTCTCCTTCGCAGGCTCCGGGGCGGGCGGCTGTGCGGCTTCCTGGCGTGTGTCGCTGCGGGCCACCTGAGGGGGGCAGTTGACACTGACAGTGGGGCTCCCTTTGAGAAATAACTGAGGATGGAAGTGTGCGGGAGACTGGGAGGGCTGCGCGGGCGGTGAGGGGAGCTCGCGGGTGTCTGGGGGAGCGCCCTCAGATGCGTGGGGCGTCCGCGGGTGTGTGTGGGGGGAGCGCCCTCAGATGCGTGGGGCGTCCGCGGGTGTGTGTGGGGGGAGCGCCCTCAGATGCGTGGGGCGTCCGCGGGTGTGTGTGTGTGTGGGAGCGCCCGCAGGTGCGTGTGTGGGGGGGAGCGCCCTCAGATGCGTGGGGCGTCCGCGGGAGTGTGTGGGGAGCCCGCGGGTGTGTGTGTGTGTGGGAGGAGCGCCCGCGGGTGTGTGTGTGGGGGGGAGGAGCGCCCGCGGGTGTGTGTGTGTGGGGGGGAGCGCCCTCAGGTCAGTGGGGCGTCCGCGGGTGTGTGTGTGTGGGGGGGAGCGCCCTTAGTGCGTGGGGCGTCCGCCCTTAGTGCGTGGGGCGTCCGCGGGTGTGTGTGTGGGGGGGTAGCGCCCGCAGGTGTGTGTGTGTGTTGGGGCAGTGCCCGCGGGTGTGTGTGTGGGGGGCGCCCGCGGGTGTGTGTG